GAAGTAGTTAAGCAATTATGAACTACTATGTTACATGAGTATCAACCTACAATATAGTTCTCAGAGTCTAAGCTAGACTGTTTAGTAGGTTCCAAGTTGTGTCACCGAGTTTCAAATGTAGCCACTATTAAATGTTCTGACCATAAAAAAGTAAATCTATCTAGCTTTTACATTTTCAATAGCTTTTCAACATAATATCTCATTTAATCATCAAAACCAACCTATGTTACCTAATGGCCATTTTAGGAAATCCAAATGTTGTTTATTCATAAAAGACATCTTAACAGTTGTTTTGTTTTGTTTTGTTTTTAATTTTGACTGTAGGGTCTGAATTTGGGATAGGCAAAATCAAGAATATTTTTTAAGAAGACAAAATATAAGTCATAAATATTTAAAGATAAGAAATATTTACAGGCAACATTATCAAAATACACAGCAATAAACAACAATGGTTATTAGAAACAATTGTTTTTTAGAAACAATTTTTTTAAAAGCAAGGGATCTTTGAAAACATAATTTGAGAGAATGTCAAAAAGCACTAACAGTTGTTTGTGATTAAAAGGAATTTCTACTATTTCAGGCATAAAATAACTCAGTCATTTTACAGAAAAGAAAAAAAACACCCAAGCTCTAATTATAATCCTTTATCCTTTTGTTCATTCCTGTAACAATTTGCAGTAAAAGATTTAACAATACACTTCTATATGTTTGTATTTAGCTATATACAGGTATATAAATACACAATAATTGATACATATAAAGCTTTAATATTAACTTATCAATATATCAAATGAAACAGTGTATATTTTTTCAATGTATGTAAATATATGTTTTTCAAAATGGTAATTATGTATATCATAGTAATGTTATCACTTTGGAAAACCATAAAAATTTTCTTAATAAGCAAACAAATATATATTTAAAAAACATCCTGTGGAAGAAATAAGGTGAGTTTTATTCCCACTTTACAGATCAGGAAGTGAGACTTGGGAAGATAAAGTGATTTCCCAAGGTTATCCAGGAAAGACACTCATGAAACCTTTCATTTGACAAATGCTGGCTCTGGCCCTGGCACAATGCTAAGCATTAGCTAAACAAAGACTGACAGGGCATTCCCCTGTCCTTGAGGAACCACATCCCATCTTGAATTCAAGTCTTCAAAATCTTAGATAGATAGATAGATATTAAAAAAAAAACCAAAAAACGACCATAGTAACAGACCATGGAAAAGGCACTCGAATATCAAGTCAGGACACTTAGGTTGCAATTTGACTCTAGCAGTGTGGAGCCATTTGAGAAAATTACTGAAATATGCCAACTTTCAATTTTCTGAGCCACTAAATGAGTGGCTCTCAGGTGAAATTCCTAAGGACCTATCAGTACCAAAAATTTAATGACGTATAGAGCATTTAGAATTGGTACTTATAGGTCTAAAGTCAACATTAATACCATCGTGTGATAAATATACCTTTTCTTATGAGCTTGCTATTTTTGTAAGATATCTACTTTTTAAAAACCTTCTGGTTATAGTATTTATTTTATGTTTTACTAATGTACTTTTAAGCCATGAAAATTAGCGCCATCCAAAGAAGCTCCAGTAATACCTCAAATTAAGTCAAAATCTTCACAAAATTATCTTTCAACAAGCATGTATTTTCCTCTCAGAGAGGAAAAAAGTGGGGGGGAAAAAAAAGCATTTTTGCCTTTAAGGAGATCAGATCAGGGATAAAAGGAGAAAACCAAAACCAAAACAACTATCCAAAATGTACATGTCTACTAAAAATAGGCCCTAGGAGCTGGAAAATCTGTGCCAAACACGATGTGAAAATTAGAAAAAAACAGACACAAGTTGAACTGACAAGATAGCCAAGAGAAGGCCAGTTGGCTGTTTCCTAAGATACTTGGCAGGTGTTCTGACATTCCCTTACCAAACTTCAGGTTCTGCCTTCAGTTTTATAAAAATCATCAAAACCAAGCTATGTTACCTAATGGCCATTAGGGGCCTTGGCATTAAGCTGAGAATGGATCCATCCATCTGAGTGGTACTGATAAATAAAATCAGAATGCAATGCCATTTTATTCACTAAGGATGAGAAATAGAACTGTTGTTGGGCTTCTATGATTTTGTGAAAAATATGTTTTCTTCCACTAGTGAGATCTGTGCTGAAACATAAATGATAAACAAAAGAAGACAGAATAAGGGGTGTCTGGTTATTTCCCCAACAGAGATATCATAATCAAGGCTTTAGACTTGAGTACTTTTCACCCAAGACATGCCTCCATGGACATGACAAGGACCACTTCTTGACCTTCTGCCATCTCTTCCAATTGGTCATTCCTTAAATATGTTAGTTCCTCCCAGAAAACTTGCTCCTTTTCAAATTATGAAATATCTCAAATGTACAGAATATAACAAGGATTCCATATCCCACATATTCTAAGTGCTATATTTGTTTCAGACTTCTTTTTAAAGAAATAAAACAATATAAATAGAACCAAAGCTCCATTCCTCTATCTTCCTCTCATCACCACCACCTTTTTCTTCCCAGAATAAATAACTGTCCAATGTAAACACAAATCGCCCCATGCATTTTTTTAAAAATCTTACAACAGATGAATGTATCCACAGTAGTGTCATTTCATAAATAGCACTACCTTATACATATCTATTTGCAGCTTCTGGTTGTCTCTTAACATACTTTTTAAAAGATATGACCACGTTGATATATGTAGCACTGCATTTGGCATAGTACACTATGGCAGAAAGTAGACTTCATTATTTTATGTATGTATGTATTTTATTATATGTTTGTGTGTAAGACACCTGATACAGAGCTCACAGGGCTAAAATCTAGGTGTAGGCAGGGCTGCATTCCTTTTTAGAGACTCTAGAAGCAAATCCATTTCCTTGCTCTTATAAGTTATTGCCAGAATTCTGTTCCTTGCAGTTGTAGGTCTGAGGTCCCCATTTCATGCTACTGTCCTCTGAAAGTTGTTCCCAGCTTCTTCTTTTTTTTTTTTTTTTTTTAAGATTTTATTTATTCATCTAAGAGAGCACAAGCAGGGGGAGGAACAGGAGAAGGAAAGCAGACTCCATGCTCAGCATGAAGCCCGATCCCAGGACCCTGAGATCATAACCTGAGCCAAAATCAAGAGTCAGATGCTTAACCAACTGAGCCACCCAGGAACCCCGAGTTGTTCCCAGCTTCTAAGGGCTGCCTACACTTCTTGGCTCGTGGTTCACTTCTTCCATGTTCAAAGCCAGCAAGGATGAGGAGAAGCCGTCTGAAAATTTCAGTCTCTCCTGCCCCTCCTCCAAATGATACAAGGTAATCTCTTGATCTTCAAGTCATCTGGTTGGCACCCTTAATTCCATCTGTAACCTTAATTTCCTTTTGCTGTCTACGCAATATATTCACAGGCATGACATTGGGTTTAGACTGAGGGGGACAAAATCTGCCTGCCACACTGCTAATGCCTTAGAATTTCTTCCTTTGTCACCTAGCGAGGATAAGGGAAGGTACATTCTCTGATGGAAAGCTTCATGACTGTTATGTAGCTATATGCTTGTAGAAAGTGAATATAATTGACTTTTTCAAAACAAAGACCATACCAGTTTGTTTCCTTCAGGATGACAGTTTCTTAATGGATTAGAGAGAAAGAGAGAAAAGATGTCTTGGAGAAACTGCTCTAAACTCTGAGGAGAGTCATCACCTTTGCCCATAAGAAAATCTTCCATTTTGATGCAAATGCTTGTATTCTTGGTTTCTTTTTCAAATGTTCAAACAGTAAAATGTCCTTTAATTTTTCTTCTGAGGAATCTACCAGTGGCTGTTTCTGTATCCATGCCCATTGTGACCGTCCTTTATTTGCTGACCTATGTGGCTTATGATGTCATCCTACTTATGCCTTCTCCCTTGACTAGTGAAGTTGGAAAGGACCACAGCTCTTTGCCTCCATTGAGAAGTTTTTCATAAGAGGAAAATATGAGCAATTTACACCTCTCTGTGCCAGATCCATTGTTGGAAAAAAATGAGGAAAATAATAATATGGGAATATTGTGAGAATTAAATGAGCTAATACATGTAAGTCTTACCACAAAGCTTGGCAGAGCAATCAAGGTTCACTCTTCACTGTTCTTGTTGTTGCACTAACTTCAGGAAGAAACACTCATTACGGTCACAGTTATCATCTAAAGACCACATTATGCATACCAGGCAGCACCATGAGGGGTGGTTCTGTTTCTCTATGGCAACTTAGTGTAGACCCACAAAAACAGGCATAGGATTTCCCCGCCAAATCTGCTTACAGCCAAGGTAATCGCCAGAGTTGAGACAGGAATTTTCCAGCCATGTTTATGTCACTGCATTGGTGACCTGAATGGTTTCCGAGGGCCTGAGTTAAATTATCCCATTTCCTGCACAAAGAACTAAGACTGCATCTATAGCAAATTCATGTGAGGAGGTTGGCTGATAAGACTTGTGTGAGGAATTGATTGTGTCTACTATAACCTAACATTCAGTCTTGTTTCACTATTTTTCTTTTTTAAACTTTTATTTCCACCTTTGGAAAAACTCTAGATTAGATACCCCTAAATATGATTCCCAAACTGGTGCATTTTTATGGATATTCTCATTTCCTATAAAATCAAGAAAAAAAAGAAAGAAGAAAAACACTATGGGGCCCCACATGAGAGGAGAGTTTGGCCTAGTGTGCCTTTATAAATTCAGCATTAGATAATTAAGGGGAACTGAATCTAGAGAAATGTTTGTAAACATGTATGATGTGGATTCTATTTTTCTTTTAGGTTTTAATCGGCTAACTTACAGGTTATTGATACTTCTCTACATGAACCATAGGGATCATCAGTTTCTTAGTTAGTATTGAGTCCATTTCATTCCAAATCTCTGTATCCTGAGATTAGTGCTAAAAATAAACTAGATCCCCCATAATGAGTTTTCTTTTTACTAATAACTTTCTTTTCTTATTCCCTCCCTGCCCCCAGACATTTGGTAATAAGGCCCTACACCAAGTTCAGAGACTCATTCCTATAGGGCTTGTGTCTCTGAACTTGGTTTAGGGCTTTGTCAGTGAACTGAACTCATCACTCATTAGAGCATCCAGGTAAGAAAATCAAATTGTGCTATGGGTTATTTGTGTTTTCAAAGCTCAGCTAAGGGAAATCAATAACTTCTTATGTTTAGTGTCACTAATGAACAACAGCCAAGCCTTTTGATTATTTCTTGCTCTTGTTTTTACAATAAACCTATTTCAGGGATTTCAAATGTTAAAATAGAGATTCTGTTTCGTCATGTTTGTTTTTCACTAGTTAATGCATAAATGCGACTCTAAAAAAGAGTCAATCTTTTCCAGGATGTGGGAAAGCAGGGTTTGCATGAAAACTGTTTAGTAACATCACATACTGCAAATAGTTGTCAGTCAGGATAATTGCAAAACAAAGTACAAATGTGGAAAAGTGCTGAGTGAATGAGTCCACTGGGAGAAGAGCCAAATGATGAACACAGCAAAACAAGCGGTAAAAAATCAATGCTAATACACACCCGCTTACCCAGTGTACTTAAAATCAGATCCCTTGGTTGGCCACCTTAGCTGCCCTACCGCTGGCTAGAATAATGATGGGCCATCAGACAACTGCTCAGTAAAGAAATTGCAAAGAGAGAAGAGGAGATTAGGGTGTAGGTGTGCTGGAAGAAGATTTTTGGGAAAACATTTCTAATTTGGGATGGTGAGTAGGAAGGATGGAACAGTTCCCACCATCATTCGAGTCTCGCCTATTTTTATTGAAATGATAATAACAAATTAGTTTTGCTAATCTTATGTCGTTTGCTATAACAAACCTGTGAAATTGTTGCTAACAATGGTATCATTATCCTTATCTTCAAGTTGAGTAAACCAGCTCATTCAAAGTGACCTAACAGATCCAAGGTCATATCAGTAATATAGAGCTCAGGACTCACATTTCTGACTCCAGTCCTAATGGCTTTTCCACCTCACCATGCCTCCTCTTGCTAGTAATGACTGAGGTCTGCTTCTGTCCAGTGCAAGATAGGATTTGGTTCCCATTTTTCGTTTTCTCTTAGTTGTCTAATTTAATGGTTGCACTAAATCTTAGTGGGCAGCACTTGGTCCTATCTGCTCTTTTTCCATCCTTTTTCTCACTCCTAATAAGCGACTAAAAAAAAAGGCAAGTACAAGGGGATTTCCAGTTATACTATCTGGTTCCTGTGTGGTCTTTGATTTTTCAGAAAAAAAAAAAAAAAGTACCTCATTCTGTGTGCCATCTGAATTTCTCTTTTTCTTGCCCTGCATATTTACGTTAGAAATATCAATTGCTGTGTTTGCAGAGCATCTAACTGATTACAGCTAACACTTCTCATTCTTCACACCCATTTTTCAGGCTCTTTTATGTGGGCCCAACAGAAGGGCACCTTCCCTGCAGTTTAAGCATGATCCATGTGGAGTAATTCATCCTGGTCCCTGCTCTTCTCTTCAAAGTAAGTAAATCTGATGTCCATCTTATAGAAACTGTTATTGTCAAGAATTCCTTGCTTGTGCCCCTCGTTTTCTTTCTTTTTTTTTTAAAGATTTTATTTATTTATTTGAGAGAGAGAGAATGAGAGAGAGCAAGCACATGAGAGGGGGGAGGGTCAGAGGGAGAAGCAGACTCCCCGCTGAGCAGGGAGCCCGATGCAGGACTTGATCCAGGGACTCCAGGATCATGACCTGAGCTGAAGGCAGTCGCTTAACCAACTGAGCCACCCAGGCGCCACTGCCCCTCGTTTTCTATATTCATTTACTTGAGAACGTTGAGCTTTCCACCCAGCTTTAAGATAAGGAACGTTAAGGGCCTATGTCTTGCTGAGGCCCAAGGGAGAACAGCACCTTAAAGCTTCCTGCTCTATGAGGCACCTAAGACCCTGGGCCAGAAACTGAGCAGAGATAAACAAGATGTAGAGTCTGAAGATAGGAAGGCTCCCAGAAACAGTAAGTAATGCTTTAGCTGCGTTGTCATGAATTGGAAATTTCCCTGTAGTCAGGGAAACAGGAAAAAAGGAATAGTCAAAAAAGAGAGATTATATAGGAGAAGATACGGAACATAAAATGGATAATTTGTACTTAGTTGTTCAGTGTTTACTATGTGCTACACACTAGCTGTCATCACAAGATGGCATAGAGATTGACTTGGGGCAAGACATTCGGCAGCCAGATGGTCTTTGAAAACAATGAAGCACATTATTTCGTTCTCCTATTTAATAACCTTCAAAAGCAGGTTCCCCTTGTAAACAAAGTAAAATCCAAATTCCTTAGCATGACCCACAATGCCCAATATGATTAGCCCTGAGAATTTCAACAAGCTCATCTCCTGCCACATCCACTATACTCCAGGCCCTCTGGCTTTTTTCTGTCTGCTTTACAGGGCAAATCTTTTTGCTTCTCCAGGGCATTTGCATTTATTGTTTCCTGGCCTGCTTATCCCTCAACTTTCAGGTCTTATCTCAAATGCTTTGAGAAGTCTTTCATTAGCACCCCGAGATAGAAGCCATCATTCCCCAACCCACTACCCAAGACTGTCTCTGCCCCATCTCCCTGTTTTACATATAATCCCATAGCTTTGATTAAACCTAAAATGTCCATTTGCTTTGTATTATCTGCTTTCTCCAACAATCATAGGATTGTTACACAAGAAAAAATCTTATAGAAGCTCTGTGGAAACAGGAATCTTGTCTCTTAGACAGTACTCTATCCTCAGCATCTAGAAGACTTGGCAATCATCCGTTGAATAAATGAATGAATCACTGTCATGAGGGTGAGTAAGCTGAGGAGTGTTCATGATCAGGAGAAATGAGATTATTTTAAAGGGTTTTTCTGGGTAGGGTTTTCCAGAGTAGAAAACTTAAAGGCAGGAGGCATCTGGGGAGCTCAGTCGGTGAAGCATCTGACTCAGTTTCGGCTCAGGTCATGATCTCAGGGTTGTGAGATTGAGCCCTGCATGGGGCTCTGCACTGGGCGTGGAGCCTGCTTAAGATTCTGTTTCTTCCTCTCCCCCTGCCCCTACCCCATGTTTCCTTCTTTAAAAAAAAAACATAAATAATAAACCCTGAGTAACTAACTTACCTGTAGGTTAAGCATCCAATTCAGTTTTGGCTTAGGTTATAATGTTACTAAACAGTAGATGTTACTAAACAGCTTTCATGCAAACCCTGCTTTCCCACATCCTGGAAAAGATTGACTCTTTTAGAGTCCATTTAAAATGGGCCGCATTTTATAAAAGTTTCTTAAGAAAGGATCTTAATATAGAAAGCATGACTATATTCATTGTGAATATATTCATTGTGAAATCCTGGAAATGTATACCAATGAATTCAAATTTTATCTATATAACACTATACATTCTTTGTGTTGGTAGGGCATGGTAGTTATGATGTATCTTCTGGTGGAAGACATTTTCCAACTCATCATCATTCCTTCAGCTACTGGCTCTATGTCAGGCTCTCAATTATAGGATTAATGTATGTGAGGAAAACACAGCCTGAAAGACCAAGGCCAATCAGAATGAGTAAAATATACACTATCTAGGAATGCCTTACTAAATTTCTTGAGAATTTTTTAACTAGTATATATTAATGCATTATTTATATGATTTCTTGTTAAATTTTTTAAATAAACCCATGAAAAGCAGAGACAATCTTTGAAAAAAATCATTCTTTTTTTTCTTAATATTTTAAGTAGATTCCATGCCCAATATGGGACTCAAACACACGACCCTGAGATCAAGAGCCACAGATTCTACCAACTAAGCCATGCAGGCACCCCTTGAAAAAAAAATCATTCTTTACTCAACACCTATATATCTAGGAATTTATTCTAAGGATAAAATTTAACAGAAATGAAAATATATGTGTGACAATGTCAGCTATATCTTTATTTGCAAGAGCAAAAACAAACAAGAGAAAATATCCAGCAACTTGGTGGAGAACTGTATGGATAACAAAAATGATACCCATATAAAACCGAGAAATATTTATATGACAAAGTATTTAAATGAAAATAACATAATACAAGATTGCATTTGTAGTATGATATGTTGGACTTTGGATTATGACATCCTTATTCATATATCCAAATCACATTTAGTTACTTATGAACCGTATGACCTTGGGTATGTCCATTAACCATACTAAGCTTCTGTTTTCTCACTTATAAACTAGAAATACCAATAGCATCAATTCTATGTCATAGGAGCAATTTTTTGTTAACTAAAATTCATTTATAAAAATTTTATTGAAATGCCTCCTTAAAAATATCCATGTGAAAGTCATTAACTTTCAAAAATTGTTACCTTCTTTCCAACACACATTACATTTTAAAGATATTTTATTTATTTATTTATTTGACAGAGAGAGACACAGTGAGAGAGGGAACACAAGCAGGGGAAGTGGGAGAGGGAGAAGCAGGCTTCCCGCAGAGCAGGGAGCCCGATGTGGGGCTGATCCCAGGACCCTGAGATCATGACCTGAGCCCAAGGCAGATGCTTAACAACTGAGCCACCCAGGTGCCCCCACGCATTATATTTTAGATTTAACTTTCGTATCTCCTCATTGAAACAATTAACAGAACCTGCTTATGTGTTATGAAGTGCTTTGCAAGGCTAACTATACAATCTTGCTGGTGAGTAGTACATAAAAATTAAGAACTAAGACTAAGCACAATAAGAAATAAAGTACTAATCACTTAGCAAAGTTGTGGTTTTCATTTGTTTTCTTAAATTGTATTCTTATTTACCATCATAAGCCATTTTTTCTTCAGAAGAGAGGTAATGAAGTTTCATTCAGGGACAATTAAGAGATGTTGAACTATTGGGGTGCCTGGGTGGTCTGTAGGTTAAGCATCCAATTCAGTTTTGGCTTAGGTTATAATCTCAGGGTCGTGAGATCAGCCCCGTCACGCTTTGCACCTAGCACGGAGTCTGTTTGTGACTCTCTCCCTCTACCCCTCCCCTCGCACTTTCTCTCTCCCTCAGATACATAAATAAATAAGTCTTTTTAAAGAGATGTTGAACTATTAATAGAGATGAAAGAAGGAAATAATCAACCAGATAGAAGAGGAAAAGAAAGCAAAAGGAGTGAAAGAACTTTGGTAAAGAGAACAGACACAAGGGGTTGTTGAAATGGAGCAATAGGGCGCCTGGGTGGCTCAGTTGGTTAAGCAACTGCCTTCGGCTCAGGTCATTATCCCAGAGTCCTGGGATCGAGTCCCACATCGGGCTCCCGGCTCAGCAGGGAGCCTGCTTCTCCCTCTGACCCTCTCCTCTCTCATGCTGTTTCTCTCT